GGGGGAATTTGTATATATTCTTCAAACAAGTCGGTTAAAAGCCCATATTTATTTCCCATGGGCGCTATTGCCCCAAAAAAAAAAAAAAAAAAAAAAAAAAAAAAAAAAAGATCCCTGTATTTACTCTCTTACCAAGTGAAAGAATATCGTGAGTGGGTGGGTTTCGTGATCTCAATAGATAGCAACCTCATTTTATGAAACCTAAGTAGTCTCATTTACCCCAGTAAAGTAATGTGAGTAAATAGAGAGTGAGTCGGTTTTGCTGTTCTCTCGTTTTGCCCCCCTCTCCTAGATTTTTTTTTTTTTTTTTTTTTTTTTTTTTTTTTTGCCGTTAATCCCGATTTGCTTCTTCACATTCATTAAAAAAAAAAAGAATCATAATAAATACAATTTGAAAGTACTATACATACAGGTAGAAAAGGGGTAAAACTAGGAAAAGGGATGATATTGAGAAAACAAAGGAGAAGAGAACTAGAAAACAATCCATCTTGGGCTAATGATGTATGCATGGGATACAAAAAGATTTAAGCAAGTGCTACCAGGCTTGTCTTATGAAGAATCCCGCAGAGACAAAGAAAAAATGAAAAAGGGATATAAAACCAAAACCCCCAGTGCAAATTAACAGAGGAACCAAGGGCGCCGGCAAGTGCTGAATTATGTTTGTGGGTGGGTGTGTGTTTCATGGTTCAACTTTTATGGTAACATTATCATCCTTTTGGGGTCATTCGTGGGGATTGCAGCAATCGCACGGGGCGGGTAAACGGATAGCGTACAAAATAAGATCAAAGGCCGGTCGAAAAAAAAGACGCATAAATTTAAATAAACCGCACCGGTAGAAAGTGGCTTGTCTGTTTGCTCGTTCGTTTCCAAAAGCAAAGCAGATCAAAGTGAAGAAAAGAGATATTTCGTAAAAGATCTACTCTTCTTCACTTTCTTCAGAGTCATCATCTTCGCTACTCTCGGCACCTTCGACGGATTGTACTGTTAAAAGAGGATTCCTAGTTAGTATACTTTGGTGAAAGCAAAACAAGGACTCCTATATCAAAGGCCAACATACTAGCCTGTGATGAATAACTTCCTCTACCTCCGCCGCCACCGCCTTGGAAGCGGGATATAGTACCCTCAATACTATTGATCCGCGCTTCTTGTTCATACTTGCTCATAGGTTTATTCTTCTTAGGCTTCGGCGGAGCCACAACCGCAACAGGTTCCGGTTCGGGTTCATCAATGTCCATAGCTGAAGGGGCATGTTTCTTCACGAATTTTAGCAACACAAGGAGAACGTCGTTGGGCAGTTCATCAATATCAAGCTCGATTTCTGCTTCCTTGGTATCCTATTGAGTATTCTCATGTCAGTCTATGTATGTAGCAAATAAAAGGTTTAAATGTCGAGTAAAGTACGTACCTTTAATCCAGGGACATTCGACTGGATGATCTTGAGCGCCTCGGTCATTCTCTTTTCAGGTAAGCTGCTAATACCGTGCGAAATAATTTGCTTCTCGCGATAGGTAACCCAATGCTGCTTTTCAGGCTTGCTCGATTTCGAGCCGCTCTTCTTGTCTTTCTTACCAGACGAGCCAACCGTTGTCCCAGAACCTTTTTTGGTTTCCTTCTTGCTAGATTTGGATTTGCCTGCCTTCTTCGAGCTACTGGGCGGGGTCTTCTTCTTCTTTTGAGTAATTGCCTCGACTTGCTTGGACATCTCCGCAATTTGTTTCTGAAGCTGATGTAATTTCTCTTGATCATTTTCGTCCTCACTTTCCTCACCCTCTGAATCACTCGGGTTGTCTGACGTGCCAGCACTTTGGTGACCAGAGGACGGCTCATGGGCTTCGATCCATCGACGCTTCTGGCTCCATTTGTTATCGAAGACCTCCTCCAAGCTTTTTCCGGAGTTGTAGGTCGGATCTCCAGGGATGTTGAACTTGTAGCAATTTTTGAACATTAGACGAACGTCAGCCTCCATCTCCTTTGCATTCTCATACTGGCCGGTTTGCAACTTGGTTTGGACAGTTTGCAAATCCATGGGCTTTTTAATTATACTATGGTATGTGGGGATATTCAAGGCAACGGGGTCAACGGGATAGTAGAACGGAATGGCGATAGATTCGTATTTCTTTTTATGGAGCTCGTCAAGAACCTCTTGACAGAATTTCAGCTCCCACTGGAATTTCTTCTTCTTGGGCTTTGCGCTGTAGATTAAGTCGCGATTTTTTGGAGGATGGGATGGAACGCTTCGGCCTACCATCCGCTGTGGTGGAATCTCGGCGGATGAGAGGCAAACCCTCCGGCCCAAGGGCAAAGGTTGTCGTTGGAGAAGTTGCATTTGTTGGTCGCGCATTAGTCCCAGAGGCTCTTGAGTCACGTCGAGCAGGTTGGGTTTTGGTGGGCACAGCCGCCACTTTCTGGGCCTTCTTTTGAGCAGGGCTTGTTTCCACCTCATCTGGACCAGGAAGTTTGGCCAAATGGCGCTCAAAGCTTTGTTTGAGATTCGCACCTTCCATACTAACTACATGCTCCGGTCCGTTGAAGGTGACGGAATTGTCGACCATCAAGTCGAAATCGGATGTGACTGCAAAAAGGGAGGTATATGATCCTGCTTTCAATTTCTCTTCAATAGTTCGCAAATCCATAGGTTGTTTGATGATAAGTGGATAATTTGGGATGTTCAGCTTCACAGGGTCCACCGGTTCACGGAAAAATCGAGAATCATGAACCCGTTTTAAGCCTTGAATGCACCGGACCAAGAATTTCGACTGCTTCGCGGTGAGAGGAGCATCTACCTTCCAAGCCTCATGTCCCGTGGCCGTTGATTCACGTCGCAGTTCCGGAACTTTAAACTCTGGTGCAGTATCACCTGTAGTATCGTCCGTCTTCGTCCGTTTTGGTGATGGTTCCTCAATGGAATCTTCATCTCGTTCCCGTGGCACTTTGGTGGGTGATGCAGGTGGGGCATCCGCCATCTCTTGGTCTTGTTGTGGTGGTTCCATGACAGGTGCCAGGATGGTAGGCTCTGGTTGCGGCTCCTCCGATTTTGATGATTGCCGTCCAATGGGTCTAGTTGCTGCCGGGGTAGAGAGTGATGAGTGTGATGGCAGTTCTGTTTTGACAGGGATCGTTTGGCAAGGGATTGCTCCTGTTTCGGGAACAGAGGCAGGTGCAGGATATCCAAGGACGGGG